AAAATACATGGTTTACTTGGTAGTTTATAATTCACAGTGTTATTTAGTGGGTGGAGTTGTAAATTAGTAAGTGGACTGCTGCCACAGCCGAGTAGGCTGCTGCTCTGCAAAGGAGAATCTTTGCTAAGAATAGGAGTGTGGTCACGGTGATAATGAACACAGTCTTGGCATGCCTGTAACGTTGATGGGAGATCTGGAGATGGTTACGGGATGTGCAACAGCTGCTCTAGAAATTAGATGTTATCAAAGATTTTTTGAAAGACTGCCTGGGATGAAAAGCAAGCAAAGCTTAACCAGTAAGACTTGGTTTCAATTGATAGTACCACCAAAAGGAAGAGTGGCATATGAAATACTTATGTTGTCAATAAATTGGAAGGTACAGTTTTACAGGCAATGAAACACAAGATTGCAGCAGAGTCTCTACAAATAAAAATGTCCTTTGCCCTATAATTTTTAAATTAAGTAGATTAATCTGCCATTCAAGTCATATGATATGTTAATCAGGTATTTGATCCTGTCTGTCAAACACTCAAAAAGGCCTGTTACAAGTCAGTTACTTCCTAGAAACAGTATTATTGTTCTCAATAAACCCAGCATTTGAAAGACAGGAGATTTCTCTGAGTGACAATCATTTACTTGTCACTAGGATGATAATCCTTTGGACTGTTCATAGCTGTAAAAGCCTTATCCAAAGGTTGTAAGCCAACAGCATTAATGAAGAATCCTGAGTGAAAGGTGCAGACAGAACGTGGATGGCAATACAAAACACACTGCACCTTCAAATGTTTGGCAGCTTTACTACTGAAAGCTGCTATATGATTACTGTTCAGCCATACGCACACAAGAAAGCATTCTGAACCCAAACGCCTATCAGGGTGACCTGCGTGACTGCAATAAATTCATGGTTTTGACTGTTAAATTCCTCACCAGTGGACACCAGCATAGCACGCTCACTCCTCTGGCCTTAAGGAACGTGCTCCAGCTATGTCAGCCTTAAACTGATCCACGGGAAGCTTTTGTTGAACAAGCAAAAAAATAAAATAATCTGTATGAAATCATTGCATCTACTTCACGCCCCACACAACCCTTTCCTATCGGGCCCTGCTTTGATCCCTGTTTGTGCTGGCCAGCTCTAGGCCTCCCTGCGCAGTAAGGGCTGTACACAGATGTTATGCTCCTAAACAGCCTGTCAGCGGAGGAAGCTGGGTTGCTTTTCCTGTAGGAAAGTCACGGACAAAAGGGTTTTGTCACAAACCATCTACAATTGGGCTCTTTTCCAAGGCAGGATGCTGGAGGCAATTCTAGCAGTGGAGACTGCATTGTAATGGCCCTCTTAAACTTTGCCCAGGGATCCAAGTGTTGATTTCGTTCATCGTTAATTAGATAAAAGGCCTAATCGAAAGAAATCGTTTGCTAGTAAGCTATCACACTCACTTGAGGAGTCATCTGTATGGAGCCCAGTGATTGCTGCATCTCTTCTGTAAAGATATCCCATACGGAAGCCAGTAGCAAGAAATCATTATGTTTCTCTTCTCTGACTGGAAAGACTCCACCTTACAATAGGATTTATAGCAGATTTTGTGCCATAGATAGGAAACGGGTAAAAGTTCCTCCATCAACCTTAAGTCACTAATACTAAGCTACTTGGCAGGCAGGATTAAAGGGGGTAGGACCCAACCAGCGCTAAGATTTACACTTCTGCTTTAAATTCTGTGTCCCCATACATTAACAAATCTAAAGCGTATGATAATGATCTTCTACTTCAAATCCTTTCCTTCTCAAAACCAGCACTGATGTGTTACTCTCCATTTTATCACAGCTAAGGAATTCGGTTCAGGCCAACTCTTTAAGATCTCCCAATTTCAGGACCCTGCATGCTTATAGTTTAATCTAAGTAAAGCTCTGAAATTCTGACTGAATATGGAAATGCACTGGCTACAGATATTGGGAGAAAATAACATTCTAGGTGGCTTTGGTTTAATTTACAAGAAGAACACCTGTACCAGTTCAGCCGTGGTCTCTCTTACGTACATTGGATCATACTGAGCCAGCTTTTGGAAACAGAATACCACAAAAATCTTAGTGAAAGCATAGAATTCTGCAGTGCATACAATGTGTGACATCCGAACTATGTACCTCAGCAAGCCTATGGTAAAAATGTCTTCATATTAGGAAATCCCAATTCAGTGGGGTAGAGAATGCTAGTGTTTTCATCCTATTTTTGTTACTCTTCTGTTCTTAGCCAGCTTAAATCTCTTTAAAATCTTTACCGGGTGAGCTCATCACTGAAAGTATGGTCAAATTTTTACACAGTGTCTCTGATTTCTACTCCTTTTCTGGCCAAGGACGTTCTGAGCAGCAGAAGAGAAACCTTCCTGCTTGCTACGGGTCCTGTGAATGAACACTGCTAGACTGAAAACATAATCACAAAGCCTGTATAGTACACACCAGTAACTGGTGTTTTAATAGTTTTTCTGTACATGTTTGCAGCAAGAAGGTGTTTCATCTGACTGTATTTGAAAACTGCAGCAGCATACCGAGCTTCTGCAGTGAGGAAATGTTAAATCAAAATCTAATTTGATAAAGGCTGAGGTGAAGAGCTGCATATTGATGTACTGTGCAGCATCACGATCTAAAAATCATCTAGAGGTGAAAATTCCCAGTAAAGCAAGCATAAGGAGACTGTCTCTTCCTAGAAAATTGAGTGTCACTTTGCTATGAGATGAAGACAGTAAAAATAAATTGCTTTAAACAAAAATATTAGTCAAATCATACAAAATACAATCAAATCAGTATAGCTGTATCCAAGAATTCTGCAGCATGACACACAGCTTTCTATGTTGTAAAATTAACAAGGCAAGAACTACCTTAGCTGTGTTTTACAGTTACTAAGAATACAAACAGTAATCTAGGTAGTCTGAAAATAAGTTCATTCTTTACTAAAATCCACAACTCCTGTCTCTAAAGGGGCTAACAAATTTTAAATGGAAATAACATGATGAGCTAACACTAGTTCCCAAATACAACTGAGAAAAAAACAACTGATCTTCATGACCAGTAGCCCTGTTTCTACCATGCAAAAAAACCCCAACAAACCAGTACTGGAGAGCCATAAAGGTATCACCATCATTTGGAAAACGCTGTCTTCATTTTTAAAGAGATTTCTAAGGCTTCAAAGATCAAGCATGTATATGCCAGTGCTTGAATATCGAAGAAAAGGAAAGAAAGTCTAGATTAACACAATGGCAACGATGGGTTGAGCTGAAAACAATACAAATTTCTAATTTTATAAGCTAAATCAAGTCACATATAGTTTGACATTGATTTAAATTTATTGTTTGTAGACAATCAAGGGTAAAGAGGTACCTGAAGCTGTCAGCAACTTTAATAATTCCAGACTTATTTCTTGCAAAGGACATACTAAAAAAAAATTAAAAAAAAAAAAAAATCTAATTTCCTGGATAGCAAAAGTCAGGCTGAAATCAAGGTCTGGTACAACTTTGTAGCACTTATCAATAAAAAGTGTACAATTTTCCAAGATGACTTTTCAAAAACCAGTCACGGACTGGCATCAACATTTCTGAAATCCTTCCTTCAAACATGATGATTTTCAAAAGGTTTTGATATTTTATAAGTAGCACAGGCAGAACTACATTAATAAAAATATGGTTGTGTGTGTAGCACAAAAAAACGCCAAAATACAAGAGAAATATTTGTTATTAGTATGTCACATATAATAAATGATGGTTTTATTTTTAAAACTTGCACACAAGCAAATCATGATGACATATCAGTATTTGTTAGGATGGATGAGCATTTTGAAAAAAAGAAAAAAAGAACTTCAACATTCTACACATTGTAAGTAACAATAAAACACTACTTTTAACAAACAGGCATTGTCTGTGTATGAAATAACTTATACTTTCAGTTAAAAATATATATAATTTAAATGCATATTCTAAATTACATATATTTAACTTACCTGAATGTACTACTTCTCAAAAACATATCACAGCCCTATAAGCATGTATCTATAAGGCAATTGCTTTCTCAGTTAGAATTGCTTTTTGTACTAGACCTGTATCAGCTGAATATTTACATGTGTATAACCTGAGGCATAAAGTCAGTCTTACTTCAGTGAACAGCAGCTCCTGTAATCAAGCACAGAGAAATACTTAAATACCTTCACTGGAGCTGTGTCACCATGAAAGCGTATATCCATACATTCAGCGCTTAAATTATATCCATATCTAAAATACTTTCCTACTTATATTTGTAAAATATAACTATACTGTAGTCCTGATCATAATGGGATGCAGAGAAAAAAGGTTGGATGGGACAGCCTTGTGGTAGCAACGACTTTGTGCAGTGCAGTAGGGTGTGCTGTACTGGTGCTAAGCTCAGGGAAAGCCAGGAAGGGAACCTAATACTCTCTCAATTTTTGCCTTTCTTCACAGGATAGATATCATTATCTTGGGCAACCAGATATCTACAGTAACACAAGTATAATGAGTGATAAATGTTAGGTAGTTATTAATAATTAAAATATGCAAATTACTATGCAACCAGTCCATGGGTGTTCTCTTCCCCCATGGGAACTGAAAGGTAACCTGTGATCATCCACATTTACCATGGACTAAAAGGATGCACATAAGATTTTACAGCACAGGTAAATTCACATGTGGCAAATTCACTGACCAGTTCACAACTTTGCACACCCCACACTTACACACCTGTCGCTACTGTCACGCAGTCTGCCTTTTCATTTCTGTTCCATGAATAATACCATTCTTTATATTAGTAATACCAGATAAATATTCCATATGTGACCAGCAGTAGGATGTACAGTAATGATCAAACTGCTTTTCCCTGCCCACAATAGAAATTTTCCTAGGGAGCAACTAACTATAGGTACTATAAGGCCTCAACAGCCTTGCCTCTGAGAGTGAGCCAAACCTTGAAAAGTTTCTTTATTATTAAAATAAATGAAAATAAAGAACTCAGCCAAACATTGTTATGTATGAAGCTTTCAAAAACTGCACGTAATTCTGGATGCTCTGGTTCTTGTTCTCTGACTTCTGTAGGCTGTTCTCCAGCTCTTTCAAACGCACTTCACGGTACTTTTCATTCTAAGGAAAAAAGAGAAACGCAATACAACTTAGCAATAAAATACAAATCAATCAAAATAATAATGTAAAACAACTAGTACCTCATTTTTATAAGCCTTATTTGCCCATAAAAATTTTCAGGGGCTCCACAAAACTGAAGGTACCCAAAAAGACCTCAAAATATTGAAGCTTTATTTCAGTCACGACCAAACTGAACATGTTTGAACAGGTTTGTAATCCAAAAAAAAGCTTGCGAATGTAAAAATCAAACTTCTGCGTTTTTATCACAAAGATTCCTAGCATCTTAAATCTATTATGGACTCGAGACTCTCATGTTGATCTTTCAAGGAAACAGTTACTGACCTCTGATGTGCCGTGATGTTTGATGACTATTGTTCCTTATAGAAAAAAAAGGTGATTGATAGTGATACTACCTACTCATTAGTTCCACACACGATGCACACCACAGATAACATGTTATATAAATGCTACAGATATTCAGGTATTTCCTTTTGTGTCTATTACAGATTTCATATACTAGTTGCTTAAAACAAATTCAGCTTTAAATAATGGAATTATAGTCTTCAGATTTAAATCCAGCCTTAGAAAAGAATAATCAGGTTAGAATGAATAACTGAATAAAGTTACCTTCACAGTCCTAGTTTGTTTCCAGTTTCATTACAACAGGAATAAGACCATTTTACCATGTTTTCATAATGCATTCTCAGTTATATGTAAATGGAATTGGAATAAAAAGCAATTAATTGAGAACAGTTCTTCTCTCAGACATACAGACCTTTCACATTTATATTTTAACTGCTAGCTTAAAATGGAAACCATTTGAACATACACTTTATTTCTGACTCAGAAGGATTAACAGGAGTGTTCTGTCAAATGACATGAATTCCTATTATCTAGGACTGGTGGTTCTTTGCCTTTAGCCATTGGTGTGAGGATTTAAAATGACCTAGCAAGCAAACGATTTTCTAGAAATTAAAATGTACTGGTAATTTGATCGAAAACGTCAATCTTAAATAATGTTAAATAGAACTAGGCTCTTGAGATCCAACTCTGTTCCCATCAAACTCAGTAACCAGACTACCACTGAGTTGAAAGAAAACAGAATGAGGCTTAAACGGTAAAGTAACTTACAGCTATCACAGAAGTCACATAAACCAGATTCCTTGAAAACAGATGAAAAAGAACAAAAAATCCTGAAAAAAATGCAAGTGTATCTGCTTGGTATTTAAGTCACAGAGAGAAAAATTAGGATCTAATTTTAAGGATGCTCAACTGCCAGTAAAGGCATAACACTGGCAGTTATGCCAGTAACATAGTAACACAATAGTAACATTATAGTAACATTAATAGTAACATTATAGTAACATAGTAATAATAACACGATGTTCCCTAACTCTTGTAACTACTGGCAACAACCCCTTCCATAGCGTTTCTTTTCCTTGTATTATACCTTGGTATTATATCAAAGACAACCAATGCAACTCTGTGATAATAATAAACAACATATATATGCTGTGCTGTACATTTCAGGCTTGTTTCAAGACTCCAAGACTTTAAAATAAATGTGATCAGGGAATCTTTAACTAGATTTCATGACGAGAGTAGAAAAGCTAAATTTTAAATACAATAAACTGTTTCTACATCAACTGTTTCTACATGGTAAATGCTGACATTAAGTTATACTTGATACAGAAAAAAGTTAAAGCATACTGAATTCAGAACCGTATCTCTGATAACATTTGAATGTTCAATAGAGTTTGCATTTAATCTGGCTTGATTTTAATCTTGAATGCTTCAACTCAGAATACAGAATATTGGTTCTGAAATTCTAGGAGAGTGATACTAAACTTTTTTAGTGTCTCCTATATTTATTTTAAATAGCTTTATAGCTTATTATCACTGATCACAGGACAAAGCTCTAACTGTATCAAAACTTTGATTAAAGCAAATGATTTGCCATCACTAGTCTAGGGAATTCAGATATGTCTGACATTTTATTAATAGAAAATGTGCTGAAATTTTCTGGATTAGATCAAACAATAAATTAAACTTCTTTTTTCTTTGTTTTCAGAAAGTATTAGTCATGCAAAATACCTTCATAGACTGTATATATCTTAGACTTCAACATATCAAAACCTGTGCATTTAAAGGCTTGACACAGAAAAATTAGAACATTTCTTTTGTTACTAACTACAGTTATGTGCAACATTGGTATATAAGCTGAAAGATTTTAACAAATTCCAGTAAAATCAGACTCTTGTATCAACTCAGGGAAAAAAGATAACACTATGTCTTTATGGAACTGTTATGCATTTATTCAAATCTAAGGATTATTATTAAACATGATTAATTTGAGAGGGAAATTACAACTTCATACTTATTTGGGTTTTTTTGCCTTGCTGGGAAAATAAAAAATTATTCTGGAGTGAATAAAAGATATAAACTCAATATTATTCCAGTCATTTAGTAAAATAGACCCGACATCTGATACATCCATTAGAAATGTCAATAAACAAAGTATATTGTCAAGTTGAATTCATTTGCTCTTCCCCGAAGTATGTATCAACTGTATTAAAATTGTGTTTCTCTGTAAAAGGAACTTTATGTAAATGGGGATGTGGCAAGTAATTTCTTAAGTCATAAACAACATCATTTACTCACGTGGTGAAATATGCAGAGGAGCTCTTTTTTCTCTTCCTGCCTCTCTCTCACTTCAGTTTCAAGAACTAGTATTTTTGCCTGAAGGGCTTGTTCTTTGAATGACATTTTTTCCAGTTCTGCAGCCACCTGTATAGTAATGACAGAAATTATGTATATTTACTTTCACTTAAAGCCCAAACTAAATTATGTTCTTATATCTTAGCAGTATTGGCACTATTTCCTATTCTGTCACCTAATACTTCAGCTATTTCCCATGCACAGAAAATAACAAACCTTGGAAATACTCTGGCTAAATTTGAAAGAAGTTTCAATCTGGAAAAAAATGGCACATTGTTGAGAGGGGGACACTTTTGTAACTCATTTGTAAGTTTACCCAAACTTGTTATTTTTTCAAAACCATATCATTATCCTCAGACACTATGGAGAAAATTCAACATTATTAATCTGAGACAGAAATTACAATTTGACACATTTTTTTGCTAAACTAACACATTTCACTGGAATCTAAGTTCCTACATTTCCTCTTCCATTTGAGTTACTGTTTACATCCTTTCTTCAAATGACAAATCTCTGCTTAATACCGAAAGTGTTCAAAGCCTTAGTCTAAAATGAGAAGGATTTCAAAAACAAAGTTCTTGTGGGCTACCTACTGCAAAGAAAAGAAAGAAAGTGAAGATTAAGCTTTTATTCAGAAACTTTTTTACCTTATGTGTGGGATTTAAATATTAGTTTGTTAAAGCATTTTGATTTGTCAACAAAAAAATTATGGTGTAAGTTTGGTTCGCTCAACTTTGTCATTAATTTCAATAGGATCCAAATTCCACAACGAACTTGAATTAAGGAAACGATATTTAAACATGCAGAATTCCCAGTAACCTTTTAGTATTGTTCCCTACGTGCAATAATCTTCTTCCATCTTTCCTTCTTAAGCACACTTGGTTTTAATGCTATTTTTAAATAGAAAATGGCAAATAAGATCAAGAGACATAGTAAATCATCAATACCATTTTTCTTCCTTCTTCTATAGCACATTCCAGTTGTCTGGTTAATCCATTGTATTCTGCAATTTTCTCCTCAAGCTGCAATTTACTGCACTGAAGACTTGCATCTTCTTTTTTGAGCTGACAAGCAAGTTCTTCATTTTGAAATTTCATCTTTTCTAATTGCCTTTATGCAAAACAGATTAGCATATTATAATTCACAATAGCAGAAAAGTGTAGGAATTAATTGCAGTCACATTTTTAAAAGTTTTAAAAGTTTATTAGCTGCAGTCACGTTTTTAAAAATTACCTTTGAAGTTCTTCATATTTCCTCTGACTGTTACGGTTTTCTTCTTCTAAGGAATGACTGCCCAAGGAAGTTACACTGTCTTCCTCCTGTGAAAATGCTGATTCATTTCTAGCTGAAGAGACTTGTATACAGAACCTTACAGAGTAAAGTAAGCTTGCCTATTGAAGTCCAGTCAAACAATTTCACTGTAGTTTCAAGTAAACACTACATTATAGTCAGGTAAACATTATCTTGTATTTAGAACAAATAAAATACAGCCAAAGTAACGGACTAAAATTTTGTGTGAACACTTCAAGACTGAAAACCTGGTATGTAACAAAACTGAAGTCCTAAGAAAACCCATATACTGCTCATGCAGCCTTGTGTGTGAGGAGTTGGCTGGGCCTACCACCTTGTGAACTTCTACTCTTAAGCTTTAGATCCCATCAAAAATAAGCCACCTCACACTCAGTCATGGGTAGAACAAAAATAATCCCACATATATATACAGGTATCACAGAAGAAGAGTGAATCACTGGCAAAGTATTTCGGTAAGTAGAGGGTATCAAAAAAGACAATCAAGTTCATACAGAGAGGTATCACAGCAGCAGATGCTGAAGAAAGCAAGAAGCCAAACTGTCTTTCCCTGTTCAGCATCCAGATCGACAAACTGTTACATGTTTTCTTTCAAAGCTGGTAACACTCGTGATGAGATTATTGCCCTTATGTCCTGGTCCAGCTGAACCCAGAACAGGGTTTCTGCACGTGGCCCAGTTACTTCAAGAGGTATTTTCATAATTCTGACCATAGGATCAAGGGTTAGAATCTCTAAAAGACACCACCAAGATTTAATGCGGAAATTCAACTGCTGTTCCACCAGCCTAGTGATTATATTCTCAATTACTTTACTATACTTAGGAGGTTTTTTGCATTTTTTTCAGAAAACATGTAGTTAGATTAAAACTACATATATATACACACACACACATACACACCTCAAAATTGTTGCTTAAGTACTTTTCTAAGCAAAGATGGATTTATGAGTTTACAAGAATTCCTGGAAGGAGTATTTAAAATTACATAAACAAGAAGACAAAGTTTGATGCTATAAAGATCATCTTGAGAAGAAATTTAAAACAAGAGCCATTTTTTTATAAGTATATGAAGTCTATAGGGAGACAGAGACTCACTCTATTTCTGCTGAAGTTTTTCCATTGACACATAAAGAAGATTAAGCCCCTTTCCCACACTACTGATTCATAGAATCACAAAACAGTGTGGGTTGGAAGGGACCTTAAAGACCACATGGTTCCAACCCCCCTGCCATGGGCAGGGACACCTTCCACTAGACCAAGTTGCTCAAAGCCTCATCCAGCCTGGCCTTGAACACTTCCAGGGATGGGGCATCCACAGCTTCTCTGGGCAGCCTGTTCTAATGCTTCACTAACCTCACAGTACATAATTTCTTCCTGATATCTAATCTCAACCTACCCACTTTTGATTTAAACCTGTTACCCCTTGTCCTGTCACTACACGTCCCTGTAAAAAGTCCCCCTCCAGCTTTCTTGTAGGTCCCTTAGGTGCTGGACCTTTGCCATGTCATACCATGCTAGCAGCGTATGCTCTTTTCACTCAAAAACACAGAAAAAGAGAACAACAAACCCCCCATACTTAGCCCTGCCATTGAAATGGATGTCACAGACAAAAAAAAGCACTGAGAAATATTCATATTCAGGCCTAGGATGAAATACAAGCAGTAGTCCTAAAATACTGCTAAAATTACAAATGATTCTATTAAAGCATGATTTTAAAATATATTTTACCAACCAACTCAATGTAATCATTAAAATGCAAAAGTTATATACCATCAACAATAGAATTTATAACTATTTATCTGAACAAATATTGTTTGGTCTGTAAATTAGCAATTAAAACCAAAATGACTGGTGAACCACATTATTCCACTAGATACAAACAATAATTAGATGTACACATTTACTTCCAGGGAAGACTACTGCAACACACCTCAGGATGTAAGTATTCAAAAGGATCAAGAATATACTGAGTTAAAAGATACAGAACCTAAAAGTAAATACACGTAACTAGTCTTCTCACATACTGAATTCATGTAAATAAAGTTGGTGATAGTTTTATTTGCATTGTGCTATTTCTACAGAAGGAGCTTTTGATTTACAAAGCAAATAACAAAGGAAACCACACAACTGTCACATACACTAATAGGAAAAAAATGTTTTGAATACTTTCTTTCACATAATTTTCTCATTTATCTTTAAAAATCAGCATGTTCTAAGCACCTGAACCTGCAACTCCCTAAGGGTTTTGCATTTCTGTGCATGGATCCTTTCCCAGGACATAAGCTTTTCCTGATATCCTTGCTGCTTTTCCTCTGCTGCTTTCAGCAAGTCACAAACATGTTCAAACTCCTTTAACTCAGCCTCCGTTTCGTCCCTCACCTGCATCATAGCATCACAGGAGAAAAATGTAAGTGTAAAACCATAAATTAATTGTTGTAATACTTAATGGCTTTCTATGTAAGTAATAAAACTGAAATTCTAGACAACTGTAATGTCACCTGTTTTTATAAAACACTGACAAATTTCCAAGTTCGCTATGGGAGAAATATCTGCATTGCATTAAAGGCTCAGTAACACACTGAACATTTACAAAATTATGCAAGCATTAACAGCTGATCATGCAATACCCAAATTTTTATTTCAATATATTTTGGGAGATGCCATACAGACACACTAAAGCAGCTTAGGGGAAAAATTCTGACCATACAACTACTGCAGTGTTTGAAAAGAGGGCAACACCTCATGCCATCTGAAGCCACAAATAATTCTGCGCAAATATTATTTAGGGGCTCAGAAATTATTTTTCTCCATTCTGCAACTGAAGCATTGAAAAATAAAATGAGTATAAAATAAAAGGAATGTGTGAGATTCTTCTCTGTGAGGACTAATCCTGTTCTGTAAAAGAGAATACTGCGCACAATCCAAAACCTGTCCCTGCCTCAGCTTCATTGCTTAAAAGAGTATGTATTTTGATGAGCAGTGGAACCGAGTAAAGTGATTTTCCTACCAATTTTGCGTTGTTTTCTCATGCTCAAGAATGTGTTAACTGTGCTGCAGTATTTAGCTCCAACTCCTGAAAAAGCTTAAAACCCATCTCTCTATTGATTCTCCATTTTAACTGCTACTTGAAACAACTTATACTGTAAATCAGTCTTACAGCAAGTTTACTTCCCTATGCAACATTCACAGCTTGTTTAAAACCAAGAAGTTTGGTTTTAAAATCATCAATAATGAAATCACATCTTTAAAAGTCATAAAAAGAATTCTTGAATTCTAAAATACTATTACTGTAGGAAACATTTCTCTTTCCGTTTGTAATTGTGTAGTATACAACAAACCACCCACTCACAAGTAAGAGTTAATAAAGCATTCAATTAATCAAAAACAGTTTTATGGATGGAAAAATAAAAAGGAGAAAGAGCCAGTACCTTGTGACTTCTAATACGTGGATCACAACAGTGTAGTGTTTGACAATGCCCTACAGAATTGTTTGGAAACATGCTTAATTAGTGCAAAACTTACCTTATCTATTTCTAAGCATTTGTTTTCTGTTACTGTTTGGTTTTCATTTAAGACTGTTTCATATCTGGATTTCAATTCTTCCACTGCTGTTTGTAATTTCTGTACCTAGGAGACAATATATTTTTCACATACATTTTCAAGGTGTTTCTTTTAAATGCAGAAAAGAGAATCCTTAGTATGAAGCATCAAGTAAATGCTTTGATTTCTAAACAGAATCTCAGTATTTGTCATTATATGAAGTTATTTTCCTAACCCTACTCACTACAGCAAATATAAAAGGGTAACCACGTAAAGAGCACTCTGGTATCAACATTTCGTTTTCAGCAATGGACAGCTACGGTTGTGCTGCAGAAGCAGTCGGCGTGACTCCCTTCTCTGCCCAGATAACCACCATCACCAACAACAGTTCCCATCTGCAGTCACCACAGCTACAGGCTAGGGAATTTCATCCCACCCACTGCTTAAGGCTGGCTGTTCCCTAGAACTCTCTCATCTTAAAGCTGTTTAATTGTGGTGATGCATCCCACAGACAAGGCACACTGGTTGTACTGAGTATCAAGTCTTTTCTCTTGTCCATGATTTAAAAAAAAAAAGATAAGTGAAGACGGTCAGTGAAATGGTATCCATAGTATGGCAGAAATACATACAACTTTGCATCATGTTGCAAAATTCCTTCTCTGTGAGTAAAGCCAAATAAAAAAATGGATTGATAAAAAGCCCATTTTAAGTCCGATTTACATGTTTTGCTGGTCTTCTACCAATGTAAATAAAACCCACTCTTACAACAGTATTTGTGGAAATAAAAATATGACCAAGAAGAGGTAAAATATCATTGGATATGCCCACTAAAGACATCAGACTCAAATTTTACTGTTTTAAATGCAGCTTACTGGGGTGCCAACTTGCTTTTCAGGAAGGAAAACTTTTGTAAGCAAGTACGTAATTAGCTTTGTTGGCTTCAGTGAGCTTCCACTGGGCTTCACACAATTCAGTAAGGGTTACGTGTACTAGTAACACTGTGGAGACTATTTCGGATATGGTTTGTAATGGCACTCTCTTCTATCATCCTCAGTGTTAAACAGTATTACAGTCAACATGACAATGACTTTTTTATTACAAATAAAACATTTATAATTTCCACAAAACTGCTTAAAAATTTAAAACCCATACTCGAACATTTCAAATACACTAATCACCTGATTTTTATACTGTTCAGCAAGGTTTTCCTGCAGCTTTGCCTTTTCGTGCAGATTTAGCAGTTCATTTTCAACAGAAACAGTACTGGTTTCCAATGCAGCAAGAGAAGCCTTGATTGAAACATGGAAAATATAAAAGTTTTAAGAGTGTTATTAAAATAACACAATCTACAGTATGATACTACTAGCAAGTGACCTGCAGACACTGAAAAGTGACACTATTATTTATCCAGTCAAACAAAAATGACAGACCACAGTTCATTTGTCAGCTCATCAAAACATTTACTTTGGAGGATAAATACAATGAACAATCTGTAAGCCCTTTAAAAAATTCAAATTAATAATTGAGCTAAACACAGTTCTTTAATTTGGAAGAAAATTTTACAAACATAAAATAACAATTTTCAATTAAGCAATTTTGTAGGTACCAGCAGTAAAATAAATGGCATCCTGGTTAAGCAGATACATTAGACCATCCTGTTTCTAGATCTGCCATAGACTTCCACTGATAAATTTTCAATATCACCTTTTCACTTACTGTAAAAAATGGATGGCAAAATTTATTCTACACATTTGGGATGTCTAGACTGAAGGTCAAAAGGGAATTAATATGGTTACTCATTAATGTATCAGAAATGCAGAGGCATTTGACAATAATTTAAAATAAACTCACCTTTAATTTTTCATTTTCAAGGTAAATCTTTTCATTTTCAGAGTTAACAGAATTTAGCTTTCCAAGAATTTCCTCATTTGAGTTGCTTCGCCATTCCTCCTTTCTTTTCAGGTCTTCCAGAAGGAAGGAAAATTTCCTTGTTAGATAGGCAAGAATGTCTGTATCATACACAGTGCTTCCAAAAATCTCACTACGCAAATTAAGTTGCACCTTAATACATATTCCCTCCTTGTTCTTATTTTATTAAAAGGAAAAAAAACCCCAAACCCATAAACACTGGGAGAACACATTTAAACATCCCAAGAAAGCAGTATCCATTGAAATAAGAAACTTTCCAAAAGAGATGTGGTCCACCAAGGAAGCGATCCTGGCTCAACTATAATTTCATTACCGAGAACACCCAAGCATACTTCCAAGACAACTACACATGCACATCCTGTACAAAATGGAATGCTATTGAATTTACAAGATCTATCAGATAATGTTGTACTAATAAGATTCCACAGCCAGTTTAGGAATGGTACTTTCCATTATTACAAGCAACAAATTGTGCTATATGCCTCACCATTTGTTCTTCTTGTTAGTGAAGTTGAATGATGAAACCTGTGTTGCTGTTTAGTTAGCCATACACTGCCTAGTAGAACAAGTCTTGTTGGAGTAGTATGTTTCAAGCAAAGACTTATGTTTTCAGCTAAAATAAACCCAGCAAAAACCAGCTGGAATAAGAAAGAGTGCTTCAGGGAAGTATCATAGATGCTTTCCTTTTCTTATTTTTTCTTAGATGTCTCCTCATATTCAGTGGACCAACAGTGGGCTAGACAGGTTTCTGGATTGGCATCATGTACCTGTACCCCTGTTAAATTTTAAAATATGCTGAAAATATTTTCAGAATGTCAGATTTTCCGAAACAAACGCAAAGGAGTTAAGACAACCTAATTTGAGCTGTTATGTATTTGAACGTAATCTTTGGAAAATAAACATTCTGTCT